AAAGTACCATGCTTCAGCAGGTTCCAATTAAAGTAGGACTAATTCAAAGCGCATTGAAGTTAATAAGAGACTTTTTGTTTCTTTGCTGTTGGGGCTTGGATGAGACATCAGTATCAGAAATGGTATCTATAACATGTGCAGATGTTTTTTTAATGTAGTCGCTGCTGCAGGAGAGACAGGAATTTTCCCGTGCCATCATCAAGCTCTACCCAACAGCTTCAAAGGAAAATTGCAATTCATCTTTTTTCACAACTAAAATGCTAGGTTCAGAAGTGAATTCACCTAAAACACATATTAATTTTTTAATCTGTTTATTTTTGTTTCTGGCAAATGTTAATTTTTCTCAAGTATTCAGTTAAAAAAGACACTGTATTCAGGAAAAAAATGCCGAATCATCGGTTTTCTTTTTAGATCTTTAGACCTTAGGTGATAGCAAGACACTTTGAAAGTGAAAATTCTTTTCATTTAGTCAAATTTGGACAAAGCTTTTGAATATTCAATGTAAGTAGACAAAGGTTTTAGGAACTGCCCTTTCAGCTTTACTTCTACTATGCCTTGACACTGGCCTGTATCTACAGAGAATATAAGCTTATAAACAGATGAGCTCTCAGAGACTGTTTTCACTTCCAGTAAGAAAAAAAATTGGCAGCATGACCACACTTAGCATGAGATGCCTTTTATTTTCTTCGAAGATAATACGACTTTGTTTATTTTTCCAGCCTTTTGCAAAATGTTTTATTCCACAGATCAATGACTGTCATAAAATATGACTTCAGATGGAAATTTCCTCCACAATATCTGGGAGAAGTGGCTCACAGATGACTGCATTTTCTTTTTACTCTACACTCCAGCCGCTCTTAAACACAGTGTAATGCCTCCTTGACATGGTTTTGCCCTGAGAAGATCCTTCCTTTGTGATTATCCATACAGCTCACACAGGGGGGAATCAGTGCTCTTAGACCTTGCCTATTGCCATGCCAAGAGTCCATGCTAAGAGTTTTGTACTTGCAGAGTACAAAACAGCTTTTATAAAGCTTATTTACCACCTTGAAGAGTTAAAATGGGATGTCAGAGTCTCCTTTAGAGACCAAGGAAGAAAATCAATGACGACTTCTTCCAAGGACTAGAAGTTAAGCCGTGAGTTGCAGTGGAAGGTCCAACAGTGGCCACCTTTATGCTTTCTTCTCTCAGAGCTCATAAACACTGCCACAAATAAGTAGATACCAATAATACCACTTTCATAAGAGAGGATTTTTCAACATTGGTTAAGAAGCCTAAATACATCATAGAGAAGCTGTTGCTGGCTCATCTTTCCCAAGCCCATGTTCTACCCCAAAGCCTGAAGCAGCCACGCACGTCACTGCAAGGGATGAGCAGTGGAATTGGGATGAGTCCTTGCTGGGGGCTGCCCCTTGCCGTCAGCCTGTCCCGGGCACCAGTCCTAGGAGCATAGCAGGCAGGGAGGACAGGAGACCTTGTGGAAGCCCCATGTCATTGCCCAGACTGCTGGCCCAAAGAAGTTCAAGGCAAAGGGAGAGATGAGGAAACTCAGTCACTGAGTTGCCTCACTCCTGAACAACACTCAAGTCACAGGCTTCTCTACAAGTAAATTTAAATAAATAACATTTGCTCCCAAATTAGTAGAAAAGAATAAACATTTTAAAATCTTTTGACTATTCTATGAGAGAATAAGAGGCCTTGCTATACATCTAAAGAATTAAATTGTCTTAATTGCATCCTTGTGTAAAAATAAAGCATTAATTTTTAAGTGGATGGAAAAATCCACTGGGTTGAAGAAATACTACTGTCAGTTAAATGTATTCCTGCATTTGTGTAGTGCAAAAACAAGCTTTAATAGAAACGAAGAGTCTAATAGGAACATTTCCATGAATTTAAAAATAACAACAGTGGAAACAATCTCATAAAATAAGTAAACCTCTCCCTTCAATATTTGCAACTGAAGTATTTAGGGCCTGGGAATGTGAAAGCAACTATAAATTATGAATGATGTGCTTTGTTCTACAATACAAGAGGCCAGGTTTTATATTCCTTGTCTAGCTGTGGCTTCCAGGTGCAAGGGATGTAGCATTTATCCCACCTAAAGAAGGTGGAGAAATTACCTGATATGATATTCACCCATCAGGTTTCCAGTGGTCCATAGCAGATACTCAGAAGGATACATGTCTTGGAAGGAAGGCTTATTTGGCATGAAACTTCATACCTACTGAAGGCTCTTTTCTCAACCATTAAAAAGACTCTAAATATATTAGTTATGGATAACCTGACATTGGTCAACTGCATCCTGAGCTGCACCAAAAGCAGCGTGGCCAGCAGGTCGAGGGAGGTGATTCTCTACCTCTTCTCCATTCTCATAAGACCCCATCTGAAGTGCTGCATCCAGCTCTGGGGTCCTCACACAGGAAGGGCATAGAAGCATCGGAGCAAGACCAGAGAAGGGCCACGGAGATGATAAGAGGGGTGGAGCACCTCTCCTATGAAGAAAGGCTAAGAGAGTTGTGCTTCTTCAGCCTGGAGAAGGCTATGGGGAGACCTTTTAGCACCTTCCAGTATTTAAAGGGGGCCTACAAGAGAGCTGGAGAGAGATTTCCTACAAGGGTATGTAATGATAGGACAAGGGGCAGTGGCTTCAAACTAAAAGAGAGTTGATTTAGATTAGATATTAGGAAGAAATTCTTTACTGTGAGGGTGGTGAGGCCCTGGAACAGGCTGCCTAGAGATGATGTGGATGTTGTGGATGAGAGATGTTGTGGATGTCGCATCCCTGGAAGTGTTCAAGGCCAGGTTGGATGGGGCTCTGAGCAACCTGGTCTAGTGAAAAGTGTCCCTGCCCATGGCATCCCCAGTTGGAACTAGATGATCTTTAAGATCCCTTCCAACCCAAACCATTCTATGATTCCATAAAATGAAGAATATGAGATGCAAAGTTCACCCAAAGAAGAGGATACCAGAGTCCCTGACTGTGCCCATTACACTGCTTTATTGCTAGACTGGTCGTCTTCTCGGAGCACTGTGCTCATGCTGGGTTAACTGGGGATGAACTCTCTTGGAGACAGTCTGTGTTGAGACTTGGTCCATGCTGGCTCAGAACAAGATAAGGTACTTGCATTTATGACACTGGGAGCCAACTTCTTCCTCTAAATCACCTTTTCAGTAGTTTCTCTTGTCCCCCATCTCCATCTTTTTTTCCTCCAGACTGCTGCCAGGGAGACTGCTTTGCCTCTCTTCCCTAATATGCAAACCATGCTCCTGTCAATGTCACTGTCAGAATTGCTTTCAAGTCCTCATCCCACTCCCTATGCTGGGCTGTGCTCATATGAATTTGCCATATGTCTGTACACCTGCTCTGGGATGGTTTTCAACCTAAAAAGAACATGCTGGCATTAAAGCATCATGAGAAAAATAAATACCAAACCCTAAATTGATTTACATTGTTTATCTGGAATTTGTTGATAGAGTTAAATTCTGGAAGTAGAATATGAATAGTTAAGATATGAATATGATTAATTAAGATCTGAGTGAGGTATGACAGGATCACAATTTACGGAAGGTCAGAACTGTATGCTGAAGATTAAAACCAAAATATTACCAAATTACTTCGGAACCTGCAGGAGCAGATCCTGTCAGGATATGTTCTTTGTTTCCGTGCTTCTGAAAACCAAGGCATATAGGAGTTCTTTAAAATCTCTTTGTCTTTCCTAATTTCCCATGTCTTTGAAAATCTAGGTATAGTAATAACAAATAAAAAAATTTAAAAAGCAGTAAAGTTCTTTCTTGCCCCAATAAAGACTTCAGATAAGGCTGTTAAGCTGCTAAATAAAACAGAGCAAATTTTGTAGGATGAGAAGTTCTTTGGCAATGACTCTGTAGACGAAACACTCTATAGTAACTTGTTCATAAACAGACCTGGTAAACCTGCACTGAAACTTTGTTTTGCATTTACTGTACAGCAAACTGCTCAGGGAGAATTAAAACGTATTCTGCCTCTTGTCACTAGGCCTCAGAGAGCAGCTGGTCACTTCCACTGCCTTTGGATACATACCCTGTGGATTGATCCCCACTTACCTGGTCAGCAACAATCTCAGTGTTTTTTTCCAGCAGGAGTAAAATCTCCTAGACAGAAGGGAAGGAGGAGAAGAGTCCAAGCTTTACTGTTCTTTTGCATAAAATTTTATCCTCACTGCTGGTGCAATTACAGCTGGCAAAGAACCGGGGATAGCATAAGCTGGAGGAAGAGCACTGAAAAGTTCATCTTGACCAGAAAGACCTGCAAGCTTCACTACCCTATTGGGCACGCAGTGGGCAGAGCAATGTCCCTATGGATGCTTGGCTTAACTGTGCCACAAGAGTGCCTGGATCCAGAGCACAGCCCAAAAACTCAACAGGCACCAGATTGTCTCCCAGTTTATTAGTGGAGACAAACATGGACAACTTAGAAGTTGTCTCCTTTCTTAGGCTGTTTCTTACTCTGTTTGCCTGGCTTTGCCTATCTTCTGGTCACTTTTCTACTGTGTGTCTTCCCTGAGAACTTCTCACCAGTGACACGGCATCTGCGCCCAGTGCCTGTCTCTTCGCAGAAACCTACGCCAATTAAATAATAACGAGAGAAACTCTCACAGGCATGCTAGGTTTCTGTTACTTCCACTTAGGGCCATTTTCAAAGGCAGACTAAGGTAGCAGCCATCTATCCTAGCAAGAAACTGTATGTGCTGAAAATTTTATAAATGTGAAATTAGCCACCTGCAATAACTGTTGTAAAATTGTTAAATTAGTGATTACTTTCATTTCTTGCTGGGATATCAGGGAAATGGCATGAAACAGCACTAAAAAAGGCTCCTACATAGTCCAGAAAAGAGGTTAAACCAAGTGTTGCTCCCTCAGTGAAATCAGAAACCTTGCTGAACTCACTGTAGGGCTGCCTGCTTGCAAGAACTTTGTCACCCTATATCCCCACTGAAATAGCACAAAAGTGAACAGGAAACAATGATTCATTTTTTAATGCCTGCTAAAAATTAATCTGGCATGAAAAGAATTACAAGTCACAAGATGCCACAGAAAACTGGAATGTTTAAGCTTAATAAAATCACAGTTCCCAACTCCATTTTTTTTCTAGTTTGAGGCATCCAATCTTCAACATACATTTCCACTCTCTATATTTAATTTAACAAAGTACGTGGAAGCTCTCGATCAATAGCATGGCTTCCCTCAAGCATGTACTGTATCACAGAAGGATCCACTTCTTCTGCTATCAGACTGGCTTGCAGACTTTGGATCGTTGCTTTTTTCCCCAAACGCTGTCTCCACAGGACAAATGCAGCTACAATCTGTGACTGCAGGTTGTGAGGGTGATTGACTTTACATCGATAGATGTCAGTATGGGACAAACCCAAGCACAGAACCACATGCTCCCATTCGGGTCCCAGCTTCCTCGCAAGCTTGTTCAGCTGCTGATCTGTTGGTGAAGTCTTCAAAATGCATGGTGCAATTACAGTTAAATCTGTAAAAGGAAAAAAAAATTATGAAAAAGAAAATGCATATATGTGTCACTAGGTAATGCTGCAAATATTAATGTGAGACCTTTACAAAGGAAGGAATAGGCATAAGCAAAGCTGAGGTGAACGAATTAATTAATTAAACAGAATACACATTCATGTAGAAAAATTAATTACATAATCAACCAGAAGATTAATCAGAGAAAATGTTATACTTAGTGGACATACAAGGGAGACTTGAGGTTTCTGACGTCAGTAATCCAGATATCAGAACTGTACACCAGAGCAAAGACTTCCCAAAGCAATTATAGATTTTGGGGCAGTGAACAAGAAAGGTTTTCAAGGAACATGTTTCCAGCAGCCATCACCCTCTGAAAATCAATCTGCTTGCATCAGCATGATATAGTGACAAATGACAAATATGGGACCAATAACACTTTATTACTCCTATTCTGTGACACTGTTTATACACTTCAGAAATAACTTTGATTCTTTAGTTAGTAGGTATTACTCTACATTTTTTTTTTTTGCTGAGGGCTGTTCACAGGAAATTCTTCTGTCTCCTAAGATGCTACTTACCCTTTGTACCTTGTAATATATGGCACACTCATCTTGAGGAGACCAGCTTTGGGGCTTTTCTTCTATTTGAATGAATCCACCAGGTGAACCCAAATAAACAGAACATCAACACTGTTCACCAGTACACATTATGCTTGTTTATCCCTCATGCCACTTGTGGTAACACTCCTGAAAACAGGCATGTATGTGCTACAGCCCCATTCACCTGATCTCCCTGAAGATGTTTTCAAGAGAGTGCAAGGAGGTCCCATTTTCTCTTAGAGATTTTTGCCCAATGTTAAGTCCCTTAGAATTGTCCAAGTACCCAACAGAATGCACTCTTCATCCAAAAAGATGTTTAGCATTGAAATGGTACCTGAGGAGGACAGGATCAATGCAACTACCAAAACAGCTTTCACAGGAAGCATTAAGGTAGCTGTAACTGTCAGTGGTAAAAATCTTGTAGGGACCGAGCCAATCATTTCTTACATACACAACAGATCTCTTTATGTGTTCCCTATGATAATCTGATAATTTATAAAAGGAAAAAAAAAGCATTCGTATGGACAGAGTTAGTAGCCAAGTGAGAACACAGTTCTATTCAGAAACATGCTGTATGGGATCCATGTCACCTAACTACAGCTAACACCTCCTGAACTAAATATGCTAGGATTAATTATTGCTAAGGAGAGAAATTGGCTCTTCTAATACAATCTCTCTCACAGGAAAGAAGATGTCTAAAATAATCAGATAAATTACTCCTGTAAACATGCACATTTCTCTCTACAGACTGTAAAAGGAGCACTGGGTGTAAGCTCAGATGTTGACATTGGTGCTGTAAACACCCAGTGCTGATGAAATGATTCTCTGCCTATAAATTCAAACTACGTACCAGTTGCTTTAAAAAGGTGTACTTAGAAAAACAGCATAAAATACCTATAAAGCATATTTAATCTTCAATATCCCGTGTGATCACAAGCTGAAATGGTCAATGCAGCCTGCAATTGCTGCTCTCCTGTTGCTGAAGATGCTGCGACAAAACACAGGCAAAATATCCCTATGAAAATGCTGATTATACCCTGTTGGTCTGAAGCAGCAGACTCCTTACAGAAGTGCTGCTTTGCAAAATCTAATTTGCAGCTCCAATATCACGCTTGCAGTCTCCACTACTGCAGAACAGCAACATTACAAAGCATCACTCCTACATTTTATCAAAAGTAATTGTTTTTGCATAGAACACTCAAAAGTCTGAAAATATTTGTACAATTTAAGCCCAATAATACATAAGTACTATACAAAGCTGCTTTGGGTAAAGGGAAAATTGCTTTCTGAAGAGTATTTGGGTCCCTTTGAGCTTTCTGTCTCTAGATTGCCAAAGGAACTGGGGCAAGTGCTGGTTTGGGGGTAGGGTAGAGGATACACAGCTTCTGAAGAAGGCTGAGCAATACCAGTGGGGATGTCCTATGCTGTCACATCACACGTGATACCAATTCCACAGGTAAGTCAGGACAAGGGAGTGCCTTTCATGAATGTAAATAATTGAGAATTAAAAAAAATATAGCTACACTGTGCTGTCACCAACACTGCTTTTTTGATATTAAACCCTTGACTTGGCTTTGGGTCAGCTACAAAGCATAAAGCAGTGTGCCCACAGCAGCAATACCTTCCAGCCTGGGCTTTTTGCTCTCACACTAGAATTTTTATACTTCACATTCACTTGCAGAATCATTTTATGATACTGAAATGTGATCAAGTAGGGAGGCCTAACAATTATACAGGTCAGCATGTCCATCCAGCTTTTGATATTAGGCAGGCTTTTTTACTACAACGAGTATCTTGCCTTCAGTCTGTTATCAGCCCTTTAATAAGAATCAGAATAAAATCCATCCAGGAAATCTTTTCATCTTAGGCTACCATCTGATTCTAATATGGATGTGGAAAACTCTGGGACAGAAGCCAAATGTTAAATTTAATACAAAGGACTGTTATTTTAGTCCCATTTTATTTTCTGTGATAGCTCACTTTCAGCTCTGATACAAAGTCACTGAAGAAAATCTAAGAGAAATATTACATGACAGGCAGTGTTATTTAGAGTTATAGAGAAATATTTAATGAGATCTTTCAGTTATGACAAATGTAAAATCACAAAAAGATTTGGTTATGTTCTAGGATTAATGCCACTCCCAATTTAATAAACATAATGGCATTTCAGTTGAAATGGAAATGAGTTTTCTGTGCTCAGCACCAAAACTGCTTTGAAAACACTGGAAAAACACTAAAGATGCCCTTTTTTTAAGTTATGTTTACTACAAACCCTCACTTATAATCTTCATTTGTCAGGAACTGCCTGAGGAAGGTAACAAGATTGGGGCAAAAGTTTCAATTATGCAGATCCTGCAGTTGCATTTGAAAGGTACTTTTAGGATACTGAGACTTCATGTTTGAAAAAAAAAATGTAAAGCTCTTCTTGCTTTAGGTGGACCTGATGAGGTGTACACACTTTTGTTACGCACATGCTTCAGCTTAGCAAAATGAGGACTGCACTGTTAAAAATGGGCAGAAGTGGGGCTTGGGACACCACCAGAGGGTGTTGAGGATTTCCCTGAAGAAGGTGATTTGTGGTGCTGTCACTTTCAGCAAAAGCACCAAGTGGAACACTGTGTCCAGCTGTGGACAAGGTCTATGCTGTGAAGTGTCAGGGCCACACACTGCAGAGATCTAGAGGCTGAGGTCTCGCTGCTCGTGCTGAAGCCACTAAGTCCCCGAGGAATGAGAAGATGACAGCTTTGATCTGGGGACCAAGCCAGCCTGGTGCAGAGCTTCTTTCCTGGAACTGCCAGCCAGCTTGCTGGCACGGCACTTGGGACCATGAAAATCCCCTTTCTCAGTTCTGGAGAGGAGAAGGACTCTCTCCACTCTGGTTTTGGAGCTGAAACCGACCAAGAGAAAGACCTGCGGCTCCTTCTATTCAAAGCTGCAGCATGATGGAATGTGCTTCTCCCCATCTCCAGCTCTTGCTGGTCAAGGAAGCTTATCCACGCTAAGTTTTTATCCTAGTTGTCCCAGTTAAAAAACAGATGTTGACAACTTCTGACCTGTGTGTACATCTGTGCTTTCAGACCACTGCACAGACCAGGAGATACAATGGTGCTGGTGAGTGTAGACAGGAAACAGAGCTGGATACAAATAGAAAGGATATCACAGATAGGTACCAGACAAATCAGAGTAACCCAGATACCAAAGCTATAGATGGGGCAAGGGCAGACAGCCACTGCTTTTGCAATACTTTTTCTTCAAGGACCTCTCCAGCTTTAAGTAGTAGACTCCAAGAAGATATTGCCAAAATCAGGCAGATGGAAAATAAACTCACCTCAGCTCTGTCCCGCTTGGCACAAGTGAGAGGATGCAAGATAAAGTACAGTGAAAATGGACTTTGAATTACTCAAAGACTTTTTTTCTTGCTTTTCCTTTCTAATCATCATCCCCAGGTGATGAAAAAAGATGAGATCATCTCTTAGGCTGTCTTGCACCATGGGACAATCTTTATCAGTGTTAAAGAACTGACCTCCCGCTCTCTATGCTGCTGGAATGCAGCGGGGAGTAAGAGAGCTTGGCTCCAACACAGGAGACAGCAGCAGAAAGGACTGAGGCAGTTCTGGGTGATCTGCAAAGTACCCAGTTGATTTCACAGAACCACAGGCCACCAAAGTGCCTTATGATTTTGTCCAAAGGACTTCTTTGTGCATGACTAAAATCATTTGTTGGAGTTTCAGGGAGGCTTCTCCCCTATGAAGTCAATATATTTTAATATGATATAACACAAACCCAACTTTTTGGCTTTTGCTCTCTGCTGTGTAAAAGGGATTTTGATGGAAATGATGCAGCTGAATCCAAAGTGCTGAAAAAGTCTCAATCAGTTGCTGCCTAATCCTACAAGGACAACTCCACAGGCAGTTCAGGAGACAGCTGGGAAGCCAGGGATTTAATGGCACACCTCTTATCCAATAACTAAGAAATCTGTTGGGAAAGGTGTTTCTGCAGACTGGTCTCTGCTTCCAGCACTGCCTCTGTATTTCATCAATTTAAAGGACCATGTACATACTTGTTGGATAAGAAGACAGAAGCAGCCCTGGAAGAGCAGATGGGAATCCAGGTATCGTTGAGCTGCACATCGTAACGCTGAGGTGCACAGACATACTTCATTTCTCCTGGTAAATCATTACAGCAAAAAATACAAAGATTTCCCTAGGAAGGGTCAAGAATGCTTCTTAGCTTCTAGAATGGAGCCTGTTGATTCCCCTCCTGGGAATCAAGTAGTATGCTAAATCCAAGCATGCAAGAGTCCTTGGCAGAAACAATGCTAGGCAAATGCTGTAATTTTTATACAATCACATCAGAAACAGGTAGGTGAGATGGGCTTCAAATCCTGCATAACTGGAATGGGACT